AGGCCTACAATATAAAAGAGCAAATTTCCTTGAAAACAATGCACCGCTTTGGCATGCTAAAATCCTGCATAATCAGACCGCCATAATCAGACCGCCTGCATGGAACGTTTCCTTATTCACATAATCTGATTAGTTTAGCAGGAACGCCTATTTCTCACGCTGTATGATGTAAATAAAAGTTTTTAAATGCTTATATTTGTGCAGCAGTCAATGTTGTTGTTAAATCGATATTTGCTGTGCATTGTTATCCTTCTGAGGTAGGCTGCCGTGATATGTACTGCCAAAGAGTGGCCTTGTACTCAACTGTAGACATAATCAAATTTGTATTTAGTCTCTAAAAATAGTTAGACTTGTGTTTTGAAAATGGATGCACTGCATTTTTTTATTGTATAACAGCAGGCCATCTTATTCTCTTTTTTTATTTGATAAGCTGATCATCCTGGAACTGACTCACTAGTGATGTTGGAACTCACAATACAGGTTTCGTGCAGAATCTTGCACACAGACTGATGTAAAAATGCCAATTCTGAGCAGTTTCAGTCAAATTTAAACCTGCCTTGTATGTGATGGGTGATGCAGAAGAAAAGGAGCAGAGTTCATGCTTCAGGACCTACCCTCCCAATGGCCTACTTTAAGGGGCTACAGGGGACTACACACTAGAATTGCTGCTTGATAAATATAGAGTTTTTATTCAACACCTGAAGTGCTGGATGACGCCAAATCTGACAAAATCAAGGAATTTTTTTTTTCTCTTAAGAACTCATTTTTGGCACAACAGAGAAAGAAGGGAAGGTTTTTTTCCCCTCCCTTTTTGAAGGTTTGCTTAAAGCTGCTTATGTCAGCACAAGTAAATGACTGGGGACCTAGGTGACGAGATATGCACACTACACGGCATGATGGCAATCCAACCATGAGTTCTAATGCTCCACTGACATGCTGCTAATATTACGAAGAGAAACCTAAAAAGCAAATGCTGCAAGAAAGTTTAGGAGCACTTATCTTTTTAGGCTAGGTTCACACCTAGGCCACACCTCACCGTGTGGCAATCATGCCAAGGTGTGAACCGATTGCGCTGTGGGTGCCATTATTTTCTAATGGCACCCCAGTCACTCCGGGCGGATTGCGCGGTTTCCGCCTGTGCTTCTGAACATGATTGCGGCTAAAACGTACCTTTTTTCTGCGATTGCCGCGCGGATGTCACCCCATTGAAATCAATGGGGTCGCACGGCAATCGCTGCCTGCATTGTGCAGGACCTGGTGTTGTGCGGTGTAGTGCAGGTGTGGGCCTAGCCTTAGTTTTCTGCCTGCCATCAGCTCTTTATATTGGACATTTGAAGTGTATCTCTAAAAAAAAAAGTACCTCTCTGCAGTACATGCACACTTCCCCATGTAACCAAAATGGTATGTGTGCTCAGACTATGCACGCTAGATATTTTGAACAAACCGTAAAGTGATTTAAAACAAAGTATTTACCTCTGTAGCTAAAGGCATTGTGGAGAAATATTTTAAAGTTCACAACATAGGCACTGAAGTTTATAAAGAAGAATTCTGGGCAGAATAAAACTTAACACTTGTAGTGGGGCCACCCTTGCACTGCAAGGATTATATCTTTGTTTTGGTCTAGGGTCTAAAATAAAGATATACTTACCTGATCCTCAGTCCCACCTGGTTGTTAGACCAGTCCCTTCAGCGTCACTCACCCTCCACTCTGCCAGTCATCACGCCTAGTACACTGTATCAGACGTGATGCTGCTGAGGCATATTTCATCACCAGAGCTGAAGGGGAGAGCAGATGCATGGACCAGTATAGCAGCCAGACGGGACCAAGGTTCGGGTGAGTTGTGTTAGACCCTAAATGAAAACGAGCACTTAAACCTTACAATAAAAGGGTTAACTCACAAGCAGTGGTTCTCAACCTGTGTAACCTCAGGACCCACATTTGTCCTTGTTCATTAAGTCGTGACCCAAGTCACACCACATTGGAGCTCACGGCATTGCGGTACTGCACATTCCGGTGCGGGCAATCGAACTGCGAGGAGGAGGTGCGCTTGCGGTGCCATTCAAATGAATGACAACGCATCTCCCGCACCAGAAAATGCGGTAGGTGCGATTGCGTGGTACAGTGCGTTAATCTCACAGGACTGTGCGATTAACAAACTACTAGTGTGAAGGGCCCTCAAACACTGACAGATACACACAGATGCCATCTTACAGACATTCTCACACACACATACACCCCAAAAATATATTTTTTAAAAGATTCACCCAGTCTCCCTACCTTACGAGAATTGGATTGGATGCTCAGCCTGGGGTCCAGTGTGGGCTACTATGCTGTAATGGAGCTTCATCCATATGTGCATTTCTTGTACAGCTCCCTTCCGCTCACTGTAGAGGTGCCGGGAGCCAGAATGTGATGTCACTCCGGTCTAGGCACCTCTACAGGGTATGTAAGGGAGCTGTTAGCAATGCACGAATGTATGGAGCTCCCTTGCGCCCATACCCCATCCCACCACACCTCAAGCTGACACTCGGCGCCGGGCAGCATTTTTTTAATGGCTGCTCGGTGCGAGGACTGACAGTGCTGCTGTAGGGGGAAGCTAAGGAGCCTCTCACCTAGCGCAGTGTAAGGCACATGGCGACCCACTGAACACAGGGTTTTGATCCTCTTTTGGGTTGCAACCCACCAGTTGAGAACCACGGCTTTAAAGTATTTGTTGTAATCTTTCATTTTGTATGTTATTTTACGTCACTATATAACCTCTAGAGAGACCAGCTTGTTTTAAAGATATTTTGCTCCTTGTTAAGGATGAGTAACTATTTTAATGCACCATGGTCTGTGCACAGGTGCTCTTCAAAGAACAGAAAAAACCACTGCACTCCTAACTTCTATTAGTGTGCCGACTACACAGTTTTTTTTTTTTTGTAACTCTTGGGAGATGTAGCTCTGGGACTGTGCCTACATCAATAGGAAGTAACCTCCCAGCTGCTGTTTTGCAACATTTTGACAAGCCTGGTAGATAGTGCTGCAGGGAGTAATAAAAATTGTTCTCACTACAGGAACAAGGTGAAAGAGAAAAAATAAAACTAACCTTCTACAGGATGCCCCATTGATTTTTAAGTAACTCTGTGGCAACGTAATAAAAAAGTTGGTGTCCCTAAACTAAAAAGCGGGTATCTCCAGGTGCCAAAATGAAGCCGTTTATTTCCATAGTACCCAGAAACCTGCTTCATACTAATATGCAGGATGGACCTCCCTATTGGCCACTAAATTTGATGGGAAGCATGACTGGCCAATCAAGGTTGGCAGGCCAGAGCTAAATTTTCCAAACTTAAAGCAGAATTAAACCACCAAGAAAAAAATAAAGTTTGGGCCCTCGGGAGCTTTCTTGCCATAATGGGCAAGTATGCAGTATTATGCACAGTATTATGTCCGTGCTACTCTACATCGCTGGTGCTTTCATTTTCACCCACTCTTCTTCTGGATTCTGAGCCTTGGGACATCTTAGTTCAGGGGTGGGTAACTCTGGTCCTCCAGTTGTTGTGGGACTACATGTGCCATGAGGCAATGTAAGACTGACTGTTACTGGCATGACTGCCAGAGGCGGAGGCATAATGGGATCGTAGTAGTTAAAGCACAGCTGGTAGGCCGGAGTTGCCCATCCCTGTCTAAGCTGGTCAGGCCGGAATGACAGAACTCCCATGCATACGCAGGGGGTTCCAGGATAGTCATGTCAAGACCACACACTTCTCATTAAAAGACAAAAAATTCAGTCTTTGCTGTAGACTGCAATATATGAAGGGTCACTCAAGTGCTATTTCAGCCATCAGTGGAGTCTGTTGGACAAGCAAGCACCCTCTGGTATCTTATAGTGATTCTGTTGGGTACAGTTCTTGCTTTCTGTCCACCTTGGCGGTTGTGTTTACCTAGGATCTCACCACAGCAGTTCTTAAGAGATGTTTGGGTACATTGGTACTTTTACTGTTTCCTATATTATTATTATTTAGTAAGTTAAATAATGAAAAAGTTAATGCGTGCCTGTTGAGCAAACAAAGCAGAATGTTAAAGTATTATTGTACTCCTGACTTTTTTTTTTTTTTTTTTTCAATAATGAGTCCAAAACAAGCAAATACACCTTGCTCAGAAAAGTATTTCTTTAAATGTTTGCCCGAGCACTTAATTCCTCATGTTTCCAAACAGCTGGCTCTAACTCTCAGCTTCCCTGAACTTCCTGTCCAGTACAACACAACTAGGGACAGCACAGTCTCCAGCAACTGTCCATCTACTAGCATGGAGAATGGAGGGGGTTGCTGGAAGTAGAGACATTACTTGCCTTGTCAAGCCTGTGTGTTTGTGGAGATGATTTTTTCAATAATGAGTCCAGATCAAGCAAATACACCTTGCTCAGAAAAGTATTTCTTTAAATGTTTGCCCGAGCACTTAATTCCTCATGTTTCCAAACAGCTGGCTCTAACTCTCAGCTTCCCTGAACTTCCTGTCCAGTACAACACAACTAGGGACAGCACAGTCTCCAGCAACTGTCCATCTACTAGCATGGAGAATGGAGGGGGTTGCTGGAAGTAGAGACATTACTTGCCTTGTCAAGCCTGTGTGTTTGTGGAGATGCACACACAAGGGTAGCATATACAAGGGTATATGATCACAAGGGACCCTGTAAGAGAGAGGAGCCATCCTAAAACAGGATATCAGGGCCAGTGCTCAGGGGACTAGCTGATTCTGCAGGAACCTAAAACGTTTAAACATCAAGGGGCAGCCTCCATTGTGCGTGATGTAATTAGCAATAGAAATCGCTTAAAACCTTTTGACATTCATATTACTCTAACTCTAATGCAGTGACTGCTACTGAAGCTGACACTACATCCCAAGTGGGGGTCCGGTCATCCACAAAGCAATATATTTTACAGATGTTGAAGGTACTCCAAGTAATGCATCATATGGGTGTCTGGTCTCCTTTTCTTACTGTAGATTATTTTTACATTAGGTGGTGAGAAAGGCTCTAACAGAAGAAAAGAGGGTCTCTACAAAAACCTCTGTGGTGGATCTTGTAACCGAGACAGACCAACTTGTGGAAGAGCTCCTCATCTCTGCTCTGAGGGAGAAGTATCCCACTCACAGGTAAGCTGTCTTTCCTAACAGCAGGACACTAAAGAGGAAATCGCAAACCTTTTTTTCAATATGGAATCCAGATAAAACAAATATACGTTGCCCAGAAAAATATTTCTTTACATTCTTGCCCAAACACTTAGTCACACCATGTTTCCAAGCAGCTCCAACTCTCAGCTTGGCTTCCCTGAACTTCCTGTCTAGTATATGATCACAAGGGACGACAGTCTCTAGCAGCTGTCCATCTACTAGCTTGGAGGAGGGAGGAAAGAGAGGAGCAGGGGCGAGGGGAGGAGATGCTTGCCTTGCTGGGTCTGTGTGTTTGCGGAGTATAGATGAAACACCGGCACTCCAGATCTGAATGAATGACACCTTTTTGATATGCAATACATAAATGCAACGTTTTGAGGTCACGCAGGATCCCCTTCTGGCAAGACATGTGACTGGGATCCTGCGTGACCCCGAAACATTGCATGCATGTGATATGCTGCATTCATGTCAGTAAAAAGGCACATTACTCATTCACATCTGGAGTGCCCGTGTCTCATCTATACTTTGTGAATGCGACGGCTCCATCCGTCAACTACCGCAGCCAGAGGACTTTGAACCAAGCAGTCATGAGTGCAATGGGTTCAGTGGCGTCACAAGGGGGGTGCAGCCCGCACTCGGGTGACGCCAAAATGACAGTCATTTTGGCTTCACCCCCTCTGAATAGACGGGCACTCGGTCAAGGACCGAGAGCCCGACAGTTGCAAAAGAGAGGAGGGTACCCAGCGGCATACCTTATCCCGCAGGGTAAAAGTCCCCTCCTCTCTCTGCTGGCGTCCATCACAAAGATGGCTGCGCATGCTCGATGATGTCACGCGCATGCGCAACAACGTCACAACGGGGGACGCCCCTGAATGGGTTCATGGACTTTGTGTTTGCGTAGATCCACACCGCTTACTAGCACACACAAGAATGGCTCCATAGGACCCTGCAAGGGAAAGGAGCCACCCTACAACAGGATATGAAGGCCAGAGCTCAGGAGACCAGCTGATTCTGTAGGAAATAAAATAAAAAAAAGCTGCTTTCATAACTATTCTCTAAAATGTTTTATAAAGCTCACCACATGTTACAATCTGATTGTATAATCTCTTTTTTTTTCCCCCCCACACTTCCCTATTTTATAATTGTGCCTTTGTGTGTGCAATATTATCAATCGGCGGCACTAATTATTCCCTGATTTATGGACCTGGTTATAAAGGGGGTTCTCCTGTACACGTTATTTTCGCTAATGCAAAAGCTTTCTAGGGAGTATTTTATTACTTTACAATGACCTTTTTTGGTATACAAAATACTCTGAGGTTATTGATCTATTATTGTTTGTTTTTTTTATTCTTTTTTTTTGAACACTCAGGTTTATTGGTGAAGAATCTACCTCGGCAGGTTCCAAGTGCATCCTAACCAACAGTCCAACATGGATTATTGACCCTATTGATGGAACCTGCAATTTTGTACACAGGTATTTTACATTATAGTTGGATCGGTGTACGGACCATAGGGACCTTCCTCTGGAAGAAAGGGCAGTGTCTGCGTGAATTCAGAGATGATTTGAGGAGTCAAGTGATACACAAATAAGATAATTTTTTTTAGTTTAACCCCTTCGTGACGGGAGACGTACACTGTACTTCCAGCCACAAAGGGACCAAATGACTCGTCACGTACACTGTACGTGACGAACCCATTTACACCATAGGGTAGTGCATGCTATCACACAGCGCACAGTAACGTACTTTAGGTGCGCTAGTAGGTTGCATTGCCTTCTCTATGGACCCCCCTCAACAACACCACACAGCGGCATTGAGTTGCCGTGAGATAAAGGAGTGCATGCATCACACACCCTTTGGGAGGTGTGTTGGGTTGTGATTGAGAATGAATTGCAACGTACCAGTGCACCTAGCATGTGGTACCTTGCAATATTGCGTGTTACATACATGAATTTAGGGCAATGGTATGATGTACACTGTTAAAAATTGTATTTTCAATTTCCGTGATATGTCTGCGTTTTATATTACCTGTATACTGTAGTTTAAACCAATGCGATATAACGGTCTGTTTTTGAGCAAAAACATGGCAGGCACAATGTTAACAGTGTTAAGATGCATATAACAAGTCACTGTAAAGATTTTCTGATTGTGTAGCGCAAAGAGCTCTGAAGGATTATTCTAGCCCAATCTAGGTAAAGCGTCAGTGCTTAAAGTAAATCTGTGGTTTGCCCATACTTGATATCCAAGCAAAAACTTGGTGGTTTAGGTCTAAAACAAGCTTTGTTTGCCAATAATTAGCCCATGTATGGGCATGTATAGAAGTATACAGATGTATCCTCTGCATTCCTTTCAGCGTCTACAACCGGTAGAAGATGTGGTGTTCGTAGTGATGAACACGGATGGCGCCGTGTATGTTCAAGCTTGAGAAAGTGGAAGATCACAAGCATGCTTCCACTACCACTTTCCCAAGCTTGGGCATGTAGAACGGCGTGCCTCTATCATTCATGTTTAAAGGGCAACTATGGTTTTAATTTGTCCCAAAGCTTATCTGATGTTTAAATTTTTTTCCATATTTGTGTAAAGTATATTTTACAAATATTCTATCTAATCTTTCTAATAACCTGCTACTGTCTAACTGGTTGCCACACAACTGGAAATTAGGGATGAGCTCAGGTTATGACCTCCTTCCGTCCTCCAAACATGAAAGGAAGCTCATTCTGCTGCGGCCAGGGAATTCCACAGCTGCACATAAAGTAAAGAGGCAGGATGCAGTGACATCATTGATCTTATATGGCCACATGGTTCAATTTGGTCAATGACGATGACCTAATGTGGCCATATATGGTCAATTTACATCAGCACAAGCGTGTTCAGCTGTGGGGTGGGGAATGCCCCAACCCGCAACTGATTGGGCAGGTGGCCCATTGCAGTTTGGAGGAGCTCAGTTTTGGAAAGGGGTCAGTCCAAACCAGAGCTTATCCCTACTGAAAATCCATACAGATAGGAGAGCATTCAGCTCTCTTGTGATTATTCAGCTGTGTGGTGAATATATCTGACCAGCAAGAGATTAAACTACACAGGCTCTTCACATAATTGTAGTATGCCATCTTGGTAAAGGATAAGAGAGTTGCTTTAGGCACAACTCTGATTGATGTGCCATATGATGTGGATGGATAGATCGATATATCATCATTATTTAACATAATACACAAAAAATAAACAATTGATTCTCTGCATTCGGCAGTAACACAACAATCGGTGAGAAATGATTAAAACCAAGATGCTTCCCATAATATTTACTTGTGTGATATTTAGTGTTTTTTGTTCAGTTTCCTGTGCTAAATCATTTGCGTGCCAAGATTCACTGACTGATATAATCATGCTTGTTTTTCTAGGTTTCCTCCAGTGGCGGTCAGCATTGGATTTGCTGTCAATCGAGAGGTATAAAACGTGTTCTGTAAGTTTGTACCTGAGATTCCGAATGGGCAAGGGTAAGAGGTTGTGTTGTTTTATATACATCTTTAAGGGAACACAATCGCCAAACCCATTACCTCTGCCGTTTTAACTCGGATCCATCTACAGGGATATTTTGTATGGGCAAATGTGTCTAGGTATGTTTTCTTATGTCACTGAGAATTTGCCATGTTTGCAGTGAAATGATTACACTTCCTATGGCATTATTTTGATAGTGACTGAATGTATAACTAGATAAGGCTGGACAGCAGTTTAAGAAAAAATAATTATAATGTTTTCTTAAGGGTCATACATTTCAATCATGCAGATTGCAATATTTTATCGATGGCCTAAAAGTGGTATTTCACATATGGTATTTCAGTTATCAGTGGAGTCTGCTGGCAAGCTATTACCCTCCAGTTTCTTGTATCTTATGGGGATTCCATTGGGTACAGTTTTTGGTTTCTACTCACCTTGGAGGTTGTTGAGACCTGCTATATCATGTACCGAGATCTCACCACAGCAGTCCTTAAGAGATGCAAGAGAAGGGTATTTTTATTCCAGTATCTGCTAAAAACAATGTTCTATTTTGAATGCCTTCTTCTTTTAGTCAAGCAGATCTCTGATTGATGAACCATTGTGGTAGTATCAATGTCCTGCTTGCACGGATCTTAGAGGTCAGGAACCTGGAGAACCTGGCAATTATTTATGTGAATGAGAAGACTTTTGTTCATTCTCACAAATGGGAAGTTTACCAAAAGGATTTTTTAAAGCTAAACTCCAAACACAAATAATGCAGCTCTGAAATCATTAAATGTATTTCCTAAATGCAACTAGTGTTAAGTACTTGAATTTGACTTGTCATCTTTTATATAATAGCGCTCTTTACTAGACAGAGACAAGGGCAAACTTAGAGCTACTCAGGAGTGCTACATGTTAATATGTTTATAAGGTACATAATGATAGGTGAAGATAGCAGAGCGAGCAGATGGGTGACCTCATCAGCCTGCTGCTGTTCTTTCACTGCCCATTTAGCAGGTTTGGAGTGAGAAAAAAGACGCTATTATATTCCTTTTAGTAGAACTTGCCACGTAACCATCAGCAATTATCGTTCCTTGTTTAAAACAGTCTATAATGCACAGTAATACTTGCCTTAATTTGTGGTCCAGCGATCTTTTACCGCACTGGTTTCAGTTACGACGATTGCTACGCTGAAGCTAGTCTGCATGCTGGTCTGCCAACCAGTCTTGTACTTTCCCTCTCAGTACAGGACAAGTAGCCACATTTGGTGGATGTACATGCCCACTGTCCAGTGCTGAAGATCAGAGGACTAGGATGCTTGCTGTCATCGGACTGTGGATTAATGTGACTATAAGAGGGTGTTAGAACTGCTTGGAGCTTGGTAAATTTGGAGTTCAGCTTTAAAGAAGACCAACCCAAGCAGAAGAAAGAATCTCCTAAGTAAAAATAGTGGGTCATACATCTCATCCACAGCTGGTATGGACATACAGCCATGGAGAGTCTGGGTCCAGGGGCCTATGGCTTCATTAAGCCAAAAACTGATTTTGCTTTTTTGTTGTGGGTGTAATTTTCAATAAAGTAAAAGCAAGATTTTATACACGGAGACCCATTCCTAGAATAAAACATTGTCTGCATTGTTTGAGACTAATCAAGTAGCTTGCCTGCGCTTCATAGTTTTTTGTCTCATTATTAAAGCTGAATTCTGGTATAGATATTTATGTAAACTTTTACATTGCTCCGGATTGGCCCGATGTAAGTATACATTTTTTATACCTGGCAGGGCCACGGTGCTTCTACAGTGCTTTCCAGCGATCTGCTGAACACATTTTCCTCTGCTGTGAGTTGCTTGCTTGGCACAGCAGCCATTCAGCGAATGCCTAGTACTTTTACCAATGAATACTAGATGTATTCTTCCAATCCGAGATCAGGATCCCCATGGCCATACCAGGTATAAAATATGTATAATTACATTGGACCAAGCTGGACCAGTGCAAGTATACATAAATATTTATACCTGGCGTTCAGCTTTAAATCTTAGTCCTTCTAATCCAGCTGGTGTTTTAGGTAATAAACAGGATAAGCCTTTATGTAAGCAACTATTGTAATTCTGACCCCTCGGCGTCCAAATAGCCATCTTGTGGGTGTTTATCCAAGGCTCTATATAATCCCATTATATGGAAATGTTTATTTTCATTGACCTTGGGTATGTCCTAGAGCTGTTTCTGGCATTTTTGTCTTTTCTTTATAGCTTGAGTTTGGAGTAATATACCATTGCACTGAGGAAAAAATGTACACTGGAAGAAAAGGGCGAGGGGCATTTTGTAATCAAGAACGACTTCATGTGACAAAGGAGAAAGGTCAGTGTGGTGTGTGGGGTTTTTTTTTGGTTATGTATATATGTATCTTAGCCATCTGTAGCTTAATGCATAGTGGTTTATTCCATATTTTCAATGGATGTGGAAGTATAAATGTAAATACATTTTCTCCATCTTTGTTGCCATTTGTTTTATTTTTAATTTCTAATTGATTTGCTGACAAATTTTTAAAGCTGCTGTAATATTTTAATTGACTTCAGTCATTGTCGGCACTCTCTTGATGTTACAGGTATTCGAAATGCTTTTATTTTAACTGAAATCGGGCCTAAACGGGATCCAGCTACATTAAAATTGTTCTTGGGGAACATGGAGAAATTTCTAAAGTCCCAAGCTCATGGGTGAGAAATTGCATATGTTTAAACTTGTAGTAGTGATGTTTTTGTGTGGCTCAGAATAATATCCTTGGGTTTATACCAGACTAGAAATCATTTAGTGGTTGTAGCTTTGAATTTCGTTACATAGGTTGAAAAAGACACATGTCCATTGAATTCAACTGTGGGGAAACAATAAATGAATAGAAAATCTGCATCCACAGTTATCCAAAGAAAGGCAAAAACCCCCCATTATAAAGCAATGTCCAAAAGGGAAAGTTACTTCCGATTGCCTTTGGGGACCAGGATGTTCCCTGTACCAATCTACGTTGTTATTACTTGTAAATATTATTAGCTAGATTTCTTCTGTGCACTTTGAAACATGTTTTGTTTTTAAAATCATTCTACTGATATAACTAGAACTACTCTTGTGAAAGTCTTTCACTTTGACCAAGATGTTCTCTTCCACCTTCTTCTTGCTTGTATCTGTGGTATCTAAGATAAGTAAAAGTGTGCAGTTCAGGTTTAGTTACCACTAGGGATAAGCTCAAGTTAGGCCTGAACCTAGTCCAAACCTGTGCTCCTCCGAACCCAGAAGGGACATGGGGCCACCCATCCAATCAGCTGCAAGCTGGAGCATTCCCCGTCCCACACCTGCACATAAATAAAGGGGTGGGATTCTTGTGCTGACATAATTGACCAAATATAGCCATGTGGCCATATAAGGTCAATTACATCACAAAATCCCGCCCTTTTGTTTCTGTGCAGCTATAGTGGGGAAATTCACTGGGCAGCAGCAGAAGGCGCTTCCTTCGCGGTTCGGAGGAGATCAGGTTCAGGCCAAACCTGAGCTCCTTTTATTAACTACTTTCTGGCAGCTTTGTAGAAGCTCATTACAAGAAGTAGAGAATAATGCAGGCATTGTACCTCAATTGATTTTGGTGGATGGAATTATTGAAGAGGAGACATTGGATGTATAAGCTCTGTGGGACAGAAAAGAGAGGTGGAGAAATGTACAGAATGCATCCTATTACATTGATATGATGCCATTTTTAAATGCTGAGTTGTAAAATCACCTGCACACTATCAGACTGTGTATTTTTGTAAATATTACCTGGAATCCATTCTCTATGCTACTGGAAGTTACCATTTGTAACATGTTGACATGTGGGAAGGCTAACAAGTTAGCCTGTATTTGTGGGAGGGGTTTGCGCCCCCTCATCTCCTTAAAAGAGGGCCGGCCGAGACGAGGAGGGCGTGCGGTGGTCGGCAGAAGGGAAGTTCTCGAGCGATACGTCACTTCCGGTTTGCAGTTCGCGTCACTTCCGGGTCATCGGACCAGCGTCGGGTATCGCCGTCGTTTGCTGGCTGTAGCGCCGCTCACTCGGCACACTGTCCCTGTAACATCTGTCACGTTTCATGAAGGGATCGACAGCAGCGGTACAGGCAGGGGACTCGCTCGGAGTGTTAAGCTGACTCGGGACGCCAGCAGGTACCGTCTGGGGGAGGCAAGTAGGGGAGGGGGGGGGCAAGTAGGATCCCGGCTCACGTTATTAGACATCTAGGCAGGTGGACGTCGTCCTGTTTCAGCAGATACATACCTAGTCGGCAGGTAGAAATGGCCGCTGCCTTTTCAAAACTTGCCACCTGATGTAGTCACGAATAAAGATATACATTAAACTCTAAACTGGTTGTGTTTGCCCCCTTATTTGGTATTACTGTCCACCCGGGCCATGGCACACTCCAGGTCAGTATCTTAATTCAGCATGTTAGAGTGTGGGTGTTGTCGTGATGTATGCTATGTAGCTGACACAGGTAAGCAAACGCCTTTTACAAATGTAAAGTATTGTGCAAACAATTGCAGCAGAGGAGTAACTAGTGACCTCAGGGCCCCGATGCAAGAATCCATGAAGGGCCTCTGTGACCCTGGTAGTTCCGCCACTGTATTGGAGCTATATAAATCCTGTAGAACCGTAATCTGTGTTGCCATATTCGGCATTAACATTAGTGCAGCCAACATACTAATAAGCATTTATTTTACTAGGTATTGTGGTAGTAGCTTAATAATTATATGATATTTAGTAGCTTTATAATATGATATTTAGCCTATCCCTGCACATTAGATGGCTTTTCACTCAGTAATACAAAATTACAACTGCTATTAAGGTATTACATCGATTTGATATGGATGAGCTTTGTTTATGTAAACCCTAACTATGAACCTCTCTTATTTGCTCCCTTTTAGTCTGTGACAAATAACCAGATACAGTTTTATATCTGTTAAAGGAGAACTATGGGGTTAAGTCTTTTCCCCATAGTTCTCCTTAGGGTAACGGGAGGACACAAACTAGCGTCTTCCCGTCACCCTAGGCTCAGTAACTGTAGCTCGTGGTATACTGAGACGCTGAAGCGGATCCAGACAATTGTGCCGGGATCCGCCCAGCTAAGAACTAACTTAATTTAGATGCAAACAGCAAATGTACTGATGGAAATGGATTAATATTAGGGTTGCACAGATACCAAGTACAGTACTCTGTACAAGTACGAGTACATGTTCCAATACTTTTGAGCTCCAAGACTAGACTAGAGACAAATTCAAAAATTTGGAGGCAGCTGTCATTTGTAAGGAGCACACGGAGCTCCTGGGATTTGTACCTCTCTGTTTTAATGTATGATTTTGTTTTTATAAATATTGTCATGTGACAGTTTTTTTCTAAAACAATACAGACTAATGATTTCAGGACAGTGGTGGAGTGCCAGAGCCAGGTCCCAGCTGCAACCCTGGTAGATCTCATGAAAATGCCAAGTATCGGCACTGGTACTCGAAAAGTATCTGTGCATCCCTAATTAATATCAAATGTATTTTGTCCTTTTCTGCTTTATGTCACAGGATCCGAATCATTGGAAGTGCCACGCTGGCCCTGTGTTATCTAGCAGCGGGGGCTGCAGATGGCTACTATCAGTTTGGACTTCATTGCTGGGACTTGGCAGCGGCTACTGTAATCATAAGGGAAGCTGGAGGAGTTGTGATAGATACCTCTGGTAAGTGTTGACGGTGAAAGGTGGCACTTGACTTGGCCTGGATAAAATCCTTTGTTGTTGGAATTTCAACTTGCTAAATTCCTGATACTTAAAATAGCCTGCTGAATATCAGGAATCTCGCTGGTGTTAGTAACACATTATGGAGCAAACTACAGTAGCAACAGAAAACATGGAAAATATTTAGGTCGGGGTGGACAAATAATATGGAATTCAAGAGCCAGTCTGTCCAATCCAGTAGCCAGCCGGATTTTGTGTCTTAGGCGCCAGCTCCATTGATAACTAGAGAAAACCACAAAAGTTGGACACCAGCTGTAGTTTTTAGGGAGCATTGGCTACCTGTCTCCTGGAATCTTGCAGCCCTGGTTTTAGGTTAAAAAAAACCCAAACAAACCAAATCCTTGCAGCGGGGCTACCCCCGTAGCCGGTTAACTGCTCGTTTATGGCTAGGGGTATTGTGAGGAGGACTTTAACTTGCCTGATCCCTGCTTTCCCGGGAGTTGGCACACACCTGTCTCCCCTCCATTCTGGCTCATGGACTGTCGCTCGGCATCCTCACATATAATGCAGGGCTGGCTACGGGCCTTCATTAGACGTGATGAGCTTAGCGGGCCTGAAGAGGGAAGAGACTGGGCGCCGGCCTTGGTGTCTGGAGCTTGGAACAGGAATTGGGTAAGCAAAATCCCTTACACAATAGTCCTAGACAAAATGCAAGTTAACCCTTGCATTGTGGCTTGTTTTTCCCCTGGAAATAGGCTTCAACTATTTATTTTTGAGAGTATACAAAGTGTCATGTGTTCCATTGTTGAAAAAAAGGGCCTATGAAAAATATGGAACATGAGGTGTGTTTGGTTTTTATACTCCATAGTGCTGGAATTTCCTATGCTGCTTGGCTCTATCTAGTAACAGTAACACTGTGTGTATGGCGTTCACCCAGCTATACACTAGACGAAGCTTTCATGAACCATCCCCAATGTGTTTACGCACATTAGATTATTTTTTTGCCGTTCTCAATCAGTCCCTTTTTGTTTAGACGGTCTACAAAACTCTAGCATGGCGTTTCTCAACCTTTTTTTCAGTCACAGCACCCTTTAAAAAGTATGTAAAATCTGGAGGCCCACCATTTTTAATTGTAAAAAGTGTGTGGTTCCTACTAAATCAGTACCAGATAGGGTCTGGTATAGATCTTAAGGGAGGACCCCATGCAAAAGCCCAAAAAAAGAGTGCAGCCCCCTTCATATCAGTCCTGCCATCATATCAGGAGTCACAGCTGAGATGGCATGGCAGAGGGCTCGAGGTGGCCCAAGCCTAGAAAGAGGTGAACTTCCATATTTTTCTGAATGGATCCCAACCTCCCTAGATTAGCGTCATTTGTTTCCATTGTGCTGGCGGCCATCATACCTGCACCATGGAAAACCATAACGGTGTGTGAAAATTTCGTGGCACCAATGAGGAAGCCAGAAAGCCCCCAGTTTGCCGTACCCTGAAAGGCTGCTCTAGCAAAAGCAGAGATTCAGCATAGATTAAACATCTGTACATCATTGCTGGCAGGTGTCAGTCATGCAAAGGTATATGAACCCCTGCTTCCCCTTTTAATGAGCTTCTCCCCTTTACCACTGGATGGCACTATGCATATCGCAAATAGGTCATGTGCAGCGCCAATAGATATTTGTAACATGGATGCAAGGGGTGCCATAAATTACCTAGGTCCCCAAGGACATGTTCACAGCACAACCAATCGGTTGCGATTGCACCGCGGGCAATGCTTTGGCATGTGGATGATCATACGGAGAGGCGAGGCTGCGGTGCCATTGATTTGAAGTGCACCACCACACCCCCTCCCTCCCCACAATGCAGGGAGGCCTAATAATGCAATCCAGTGCGTTCCAGCCACTAACTGTGTTGAAATGCACTGGTTGTGGTGTGAACAAGCCCTTTTCCTGGAAAATCTTTTTTTTTGCTGTCCTGTGCACACTTGTTCTGTTATCTCAAGGAGTCTAGTTAATCCTCCCAGTTTTTATTGTGGACTTAAGTCAAATTGACACTATATTTTGGAGATCAGGAGGGATTTGGGCAGGACTGATGCCATTCAGTCCACAAAATGCTTTGTGTTTTCAGCACACAAAAGCTGATTTTTATTTTGGGCAGATCAACTGGTATCTTTCTGTTCTTGGAGGGTCTTTTGAAAAGGATAAATCATGAGAAAATGTGCATATATTGTGCCAACAGATTTTAATAGAACAATCACTGGGTGAGAGTGAGCAGCTTTACAAATGCTAGCCTTTATGTAGTGTAAAGCAGTTCTATTTATATATTGGGCAAGTAAGCCTCTGATGACTTGTATTGTGACAAAACCTAAGTGTTACAGGATGTTGTTGGGACACACAGTTCCTCAAAGGTTGCAAAACTATGAATTGACCAACCTTTGTTCTTGAAATGATAAGGAAATCTGTTGCCCCACTACCACCTTATTACCCCATTATTGCTATTGAGTCATTTATGTGTTTTTGTTTTTCCCCGCATATTTTCTTCAGGCGGACCGTTGGACCTCATGTCTTGCCGTGTTGTGGCAGCTGGTACCATGGAACTTGCGCAGAGCATTGCTCAGGAGTTACAGACTATTAACTATGGAAGAGATGATGATTGAATATGTCTATTTGTGTTGAATTATCCCAGATTATTCCTGCAGAATCTTACACCCAAGTGTTATTGTGGACCTAAAAATGGCTTGCTTTGATCTTTGAGTGTTCAGAGGCTAATTAATAGCATGCCATTTTCTAAATAAAATCTGTCTTTATTATTTTTTATTATTTTTATTTTGGAGGGGAAGTTTTTAATTGGTGGTAGTTGTACTATCCCTGTTTTATGAAAGGAGAACTACACCAAATGTCATTCAGTGAAAAGTAGTGCAGCACATATGTGAACCTGTTGCACTAAAGCTGGCCATAAGCTATGCAAATTTCAGCCAGTTCTTGATGAACCAGCTGAAATTCACACAGTGGGTGCCGCTGCCTGCACCCTTTCGGCCAGCATCCCTTGATCAGCTGATTAAAGGAGCTGGCCGGAAAATCTCTGAACGAACAGCCAATCAGCCACCGTTTGGGTATTCTGACAGCGGGAGATTCCTCGATCAACGCTCATAAGCAACGATGGGGGGAACCTGTTAAAAAAATTTTTATTCATCCCACAGGCTGAACAAAGAATATATTAGTGTATGGCTAGCTTAACTATATTCATGTGAAAACAAAAAGCGCCAGGGATAACCACTCCTCTGCAGTGCTTAATAGATGTGCATGCTGCAGGATGCTACCCCACTTCAGCCAGGGAGACTGTGATATCGAGAAGAAAAACAAACGGGGGCGCCTTCCCTAGTGCAGAGAAAAAAATTTCAGGTAAAGGCAAACAATAAAAATGGTACTCACAAGAGTAGATGAACATGAGCCTTAGGACAATAAACCAGAATGAGGCAAGTGTAAGTTAACAAAAACATTCCTGTGTGCCAGAAAAAGATGCCTGCGTTCAAAGTGGGCATCTTTCTCTGGCACACAGGAATGTGTTTGCCTCATTCTGGTTTATTGTCCTAAGGCTCATGTTCATCTACTCTTGTGAGTACCATTTTTATTGTTTGCCTTCACCTGAATCAAATGTATCTGCACTAGGGAAGGCGCCCCCTGTTTGTGTTTTGTAACTATATTCATGTATCAAGCACTTGAGGGTCCCATCGGCATGCACCTGCCTTTGTATAGTCCAAAACTGGTAGGCAGCTGTGGGAAGCATCCAGCGAGTTGGGCGGAACAGACTTATGGTACCCTGATTTAAAGAGTTTTCCTACTTTGCTTAGATATTGAACCAATGCACCCTTTTTCACAGCAGAAAAAAAGCGTCCAGTTCCTGATGGGCCTTTGTTTTTTTAATGTCATCACTGACCCTAATGACTGTCCCACCTCCTGATTAAAATTTATTGGAGAATTTGGGGCCGATTTACTCAGACTTTGTTCCAAAGTTTCTGAATATGTTCGAAAAGCACAAACTATCTTTTTTTCTCCTTTTTACTTGGTGGAAACGTATTGCTGAGCTGTATTTAATTATCAAACCACTTTACTTTCACTGTCGGTGTCATTTGGTGGACATTTACTCTAAAGGGAACCTGTCATAAGGGAATGTGGCACAGCCTTCTTGGTTCTGAAGACTGTCATTGCCTGATTCCAGACTGCAGTGTCAGTTCCTGCTCAGAGTACACCTCTGCATCATCGCACACAGTCTATACCTGTCTTGGAATTAGAACTGACTTGCTGCTTTTTATGGGAACATAACAGCCACTGCGACAGGTTCTCTTTAGTTAAAATAATTGTTTTCCCTTTTTAAAGCAGTGTTGACTTCCTGCCTAACATTTTGCCCTAAAGGTAAACCAATATTTCTGCCTGGAACTAGAGTATGAAATTTTAGTAGCTCAACTAAAACTAAACCTTATTTTTCCATAATCACATTCTCAGGTAACTTTGTGTAAATGTTGTAACACCAGTGTTCAAATATACCCTTTTTGGTGACACGCTCACTTTATTGTTCCTGTATTACACACATTTTGTATATATGACTAAATGCACAGTATTAGATTTAAACATGGAAGCCTTTCTTACCTTTATTGCTGCAGCAAGAAAATGCATCCTAACCTGAAACCACTATACTAATGGTACATAGTTGCATGCGTGTAAACGTAGCCAAAGCAGGACATTTGACTGCAATGGCTCATGTTGTAGTGGGGATGGGGTGTTGGTGTTGATTGGCTTTATGTTAAGTCTGTGTATGTATATTGGATCTCCATTTTAAAAAGCACAGGGCTGTTTTAGATTTGAAAATATAAAAAGGGCTCTTAAACCCTTTAGCTGAGTCCTCCACAAGGATTTTTTTTGTCATAGAAGCACATACTGGCATCAGAAGTAAGTAAACCAAACACTTAATTTCTCCGGGCCAGTACAGTGTTCCTTTCCTCTGCCAGTGGTCCCTTGGCTATCGCCACCTGTAGCTCAGCAGGATAGCCAATGTAACCTATGGTCAGGACTTCAGAGTAGAACTGGAGGATAGGAACACTACCAGCCATGGGCAGGACAAGCAGTGTAAATTTAGCTGCAGTGGTCTACAGTGGCTTGTGGCTGTCTTTCAAATGTCCACGGAAAACAAAGACTTCATATGTAGGAAGATTGGCTTGTAATATCCCTCAGGGTTTCCGCTGGCTATAACCCTCTAGGAGCTCCCAGCTCTAAATCCCGCTACTCTTTTTTTATTGCATTCTTTGTAACATAGAACTCTGGCAAGAAACATAGATCCCTTTTAAAATGTTTGAGTAGGGTGGGAAGAGCAGAGAATTGAGGTAGAATATGGACATTGGTTTCCCAAGAGGTACAAGACAACAGTAGGAGATATTGCCTACCAATGCTGAAATACTATTAGGCTGCATTGATCCAGTACAGTTTCATGTCCAAAGATGTTTGCTTTTATGAAGGCTGAGAATGATCATGCAAGTAATGTGTATCTAGATACCCTCTGAGTTGCACCATAGGTATTTGTTTTCTGTACATAACCCTGTGCTTTTTTATTTTATTTTATGGAATAAATCATTAAAAAAAAAACAACAATTGACACAATCAATCGCACATTAATTTGATTAAACTGAATGTACTGCTACCTACTTCTTATAATATACATTCCCAGAAAGCTGCAGTTTTTAATATGCCAAATTCAAGACTGGATGGTTAATTTTCACTGACTAAGCCCACATTCATACTAGTGTAGCGTGTAAATATATGCATAAAATCCTGTGTCATGCTTGCAGTGCCATTCATTGTTAATGACACCCCAACTGCACTAAGACGTGCAGGAGTGTCTTTGCTGTGGTTTGTTATGCATAGGACAGCCCATTGAAATGAGTGTATATAAACGCAATGTTGCTCTGTACAAATGTGAATGGGGGCTAAGAACAAGTACTGTATAGAAATAGGAAAATCAAGCTTTTCTGTGCTTTTTATTTGCAGCAAACTTGTTCCGTTTCTTTGACGCTGAATGCACAAACGCAGCCAGGCAACCAGAAGAAGGCCAACAATGGTAGCTGCATTTTTGTTCATGACAGGTCTACGTGTTTCTTTGCCGACTATCAGAGCATGCTGATTCCTCACACACATGATTACTCCATGGGGAATTAATATTTACTTTGTAAATAGTACTGTTGGACCGCCAGAAAAGTTAAGCCTTTACTGAATCCCGTCTAAAAGGTCCTGCGCCAAGGTCAAAAAAAAAAGCCCTGTTGCCAGTTTTGGTAGGTTTACCAACACTTGTGTCAGATTAAGGTAGTTCTTAATACAGTAAACTCTGTTATCTGGTATTCAACTAACCAGAAGGAGAAAAAAGAAATCCCCTGTGTACTCGCTGTTCTGCGGCATTTATTATCCTGCAATCGATTGTGTGTCTATTTGTCTTGATTTACTTTTGATTACTGCATTTCAATATTAATATGAAGTCAATACAGAGTTTATGGTATAGTATGGGGAATGGCATTAGTTAGACCTATTTTTAATAGTAAAGCTCAAGCAACCAAAAATTACATTATCTGGAATCTACCAATCCCCATGGATGCTGGATAACGCAGAGTTTACAGTAGTTTTACTTTAAGTATCTGTCGCTATGGCTGCCACAGATTCAAAAACAATTACTGCTACTGGCAGTAAGCAAGACCAACTCTGATCTGGCGTGCAGAGAGATGATCATGCCCAGAAAGGGGCCTGTATGTGTCGGGAAGTTGTCATGAATGCGACAACTACAGGCTCATGGTTCGTTGGTTGCTAGGACCAGTGGTGTATTTTGGTTTTGTGCTGCCCTAGGCAAGACTAGACTCAGGCATTCCTGGCTTGATGAGGGCTTTAGTTCTGAAGCTACTATACCCATTCTCTCCTGCCCTGGCATACTGTGTTAGTCTCTAGTTCTGCAGCTACAATACCCATTTTCTACCCTAGCATGCTGGCATCTCTAGTTCTGCAGCTACAATAACCATTCTCCTGCCCTGCTGTGCTAGTCTCTAGTGCTGCAATACCAATCATCTGCCTTAATATGCTGGGCCCTTTAATTGTACAGTTATCCATCTTCTACCTTGGCCACTGGGCTCTGTAGCTCGCCCTGCTCTAGACACATAACCCGGCATGGAGCTCACAGGCTGCACATCCCCTGACTAACCATCACAGAGGTGCCCATGAGCATCTTGAGCGCAGCCCTGGCGATCCTGCGGAAGCTCCTCCACTACCTAAAGTCGGAAATATGGGTGTTAGTTCACACACACTTTATTTTCCTCTTACCTAACTGGTTTGGGGCGGCTACACACACACACACACACACACACACACACACCCCTATTCGGCTGAATGCATTTTGCAAACTTAGCGGCTGGTGCACTAATGCCATTTCCTTTACTCTTGAAAATCCTGGCTCATACAAAGGGTTTGTTTTAGTGTTTGTCATTAGTAGAAGTTAGTACACTATTGAGATAAACTGAATGAAATTGTATTTGGGTCAGGGTGAACAGTAAAAACATTTACATAAAATGAATTAAAAGGTACACAGACGTTTAATTTCCAGACACCAAGAAATGTGATGATTAGTATTTTTAACTAAAGCAAACAAAATAGTCAGCAAAGTCTGACAGACAATAAGGCTTTCTCATTAATGTTCTTTGCATATAGCAGAGCACCAAGTTGCTAGAAGCCTATAGACTCAGGCACTGCTCTATAGAGTGGTACACCGTGATCTAGAATCAAAAATAGAACTCCACAATCAGTCTGACACCACAAGAATAAAAAGGCTGCTTCATTATAAAACTGACCTGCATTTACCAGCCTGGGCCTAGGCTGCCCTCATTTA